ATTCGTTAGAGAACAATTGGAAAACCACCCAGAGAGTACTGGACATCTGTTTCGTCCCACTCATCACCAAGGTTCAGACCAAGGACCTTCCGGTTGTCAGAAGTTGGAATCCATAGACAACTGGGTCGGGTCCCTGTGGCTGAATGGCCCTACAAGCTCACCTCAAAGTCGGGAGGTCCTGGGTTCGAACCCTGGCGTTAAATACGTACTAATGAAGAGTCCCAGAAAATCAGATTACTTATTTAGTGACGTGAACATGAAAACGCTAGAAGTTATGTCACAAACCTACTTCAAAACACATTGAAAAACAATAAGTACGCTCATTAAGTGTTATGGTAACCAGTGTTTTAATACTTTATAGATAAGGTAGTTTGTATTCCGGACTATTAATCTGTCTCCTATGCCGGATAACGACCGAGACAACTTGATATCAACAGTCGATGGGAATCAAAAGCAACATGCGTATAACCCACCAACCCCCTCAAAAAAACAAAAGTAAAAATAGCTATTTACTAATTTACATAAATAATCAAATTAATTACAACAAAGAGAGAAGTTTGCAAAACACTCCTCAATTATCTAAATAATTAATATAGACTAAATATATTACATAGGCAATTAGTGTTGAGAACGGTAGATTTAAGTACTTCAAACTAGAACATTACGTTATGTCTGGGGAAACATCACAAAGCCATCACATAGCCAATAACAATTATAATAATGCTTTTCTAAAGTGAAAACAAATACAGCGTTAAAGTAGGAAAGATTTTAGAATGAAACTAACGACATGAAAGAATGTGCGTCTGTTGCACAGCAGTAGAATGCTCGCCAACCAGGCCTCATATGGTTCGGGATTCGATCTGCGGCCACAGACACACTCCCCCATCACCTCGGTAAGCCAGTAATAAGATTGGTAAAGAGGAAAGGGTGGGCATGAGGCTAGCAACCGCATCCCATAAAAAATCGACACCACTGCTACCGAAACTTCAAAGCTTTAGCTTGAAGCCATATGTTCCACTGGGAACGTAAAGGAATAAAAAACACAAAAGAATCAGTAAAATGAGAAGCCAGTTTACTCCATTTTAGAAGTTGATTTATACTTAACCCTATTATAGAAGGAATATTACTAAGTAAACAATATTAAAACTAAAAATGTAAGATTTGTAAAACTAATATTTCTTATTCCTTTTAGTTATTCTTTCTAAGTTAGAGGAAGACGAGCGAATGTAACGTATATGCCTAAAATACACAAGTTTGAATGATCACCGCTCAGACGCAAAAACGAAGGTATATATATATACGAGCATGAAACAATGATGTAACATCATATGTTTAACGCTGAAGCCTGAAGATTGTGAAGTTACATCGATTGAGATGGTTAGGACATGTGTTACGCATGTCTAGTCTACCAGACCCTTCCACGACGGGCAATGTTAGCTGATATAGAATCAGGTTGGAAAAGAGTTAGCTAGTGGTGGTCAAAACAAAACACGATCTCATCATGTCAATAAAATCCACAACAGTTAGTTTAAGTCAGCCACGTAGGGAGGTGTTGACTGGCTTCCTGGTTGGGTTCCTCGGGATAGTAAGAACCAATGAAGGCTGAAGACAATTGGTGATGTGGCCTAAAATCCTTGTTGACAATACCTGGTGCAGATGGATTCACTCTTTGTGATTTATCATATCCAGTAAAACTGTATTGTTCTCCCATTTTACTATTCTTTTTCCCTCACATTTGTGTTTGTTATCTCTCTTTACTCTCTTCTCTCGCTTTGTGTGATACAAGTTAGGAGTGTGGCAACTGGAACTGCTGCACATCTGTGCAAAGTTCAATGTTGAATCTAGTCAGTCAGTCAGTCAGTCTAAAGCCTGATATTTGGATATCACCATCAAACAGCAAACATTTACAGACACATACTAGTAAGACTTATTCATTGAAACTGATGAGATTTTTGGCGGCACACACAATTCCAATAGAACTTGGGGGTTACACTGATGGTGTATCCGCATTTCACAGGAGAAAAACAAATACTGACCTCACTGCAATGCATTTTCATTTCTCTCCGTTGTCTGGAACAACATTTTCATTTCTACTTATCAGTTTTAAGAAAATAAAGTGAGACTTGGGTTAATATATATATGTAAAACTTGGACACCATGGTAATATCCACTCCGATAATGATTTCTTTACTGCATATATCATCATATAGTGAAACAGAATTATTATTTAATAGATGATGATGTTTCAAACGCTATTCATTATTGTTCACGATCATATCGATTTGTATACTATCCCATATATTAGTAAAAATACAATTAGTGAAATGTCTAGGTGGTACGGTAAATACAGCTAAATAGTACCAAGGAAAATCCACGACAGGAAGTAAGACAAATGAGAACTTTGCCGTTTGATAATTACTACCCCCCCTCAAGTAAATTAGGATTCTTCTCTATAAATTGCTACCTTAAAAATATAATGAATACACATTCTGATTGTCTTATCCTTATGAATAATATTTCGCCTATTCCCAAGCGTTTACAGTCGTAATGGCAATCACTTCTGAGTGATATTCAACACAGTGTTTTCAGATTACGTAATTAATTTGTATAATTCGCCCAATTTATTCTGATATTTAATTTACCAACTGACTTTTACAGGCATTCTCATGACCTTTTACAATATTATATATTGACTGAAGGATTTCATCATGGGCGGATATCAGTTAGAGAACCACTGGAAAACCTGAACAGCTGTTTCGTCCATTGGGGAGATGGCTAAACCCTGATTCCAAACCTCCAACGACTGGCGTATGAATCTCACTGGAGTTCACCGGCAGACGTATGGACAAAGGGCTTGTTGGATGTCCTGGATGTCTGGCCCCATTCAAAAAGGCGTATGAACCGAACTTCGGTCACCGGCTGCCAATGGATAGTGGACTCCCTACTCCACTCCTACTGCCTTGTAGGTCACACTTGGTTGTGTAAAGGCTAGAGCTGCACTATCAAACAAAAGGCCGAGTGGTTCTGGGGACATCACTCGTACCAAATTCCCATGAAACTTCATGAACTCTCTTACCTTGTCGCAATACCTTGCAACAGATCGCTGCGCCTGGGCAGCGTTGATTCGAGAGGTTCATGAAGCCGGCTCATCCTCCCGTAGGAGATAGCCGAAGTAAAGTAAAGTTTCGTCCTAGTTTCCGACCCTTCATCAGTATGCACCCACACTGCGGGGTTCAGTACTTCCAAGTTTCCCTGTAGTTCTCTAACTGATATCAGCTCGTCACGAAATCCTTCATCCAATCGAACAAAATCCCAACAAAACCAATACTTGAAAATATTATAACAATAACTGTACAATTTCCATGTGAAGCTGAGAAAACATCTTCTACTGCCCTGTCTTTGTAATTTATGTCACATGGGTAGTTTTCGTGCTTAAATCAAGAAGTAGATAGCAAAATTATATGGCAATAACAATAATAATTTCATACACGTGGTCCCTAGATAATTTTCGATAAAGAAAGGAAGACCAAATTTGCAGTATAAAGTGATATCATTCTATTTCACAGGCTCTCATCAGCTGCACACTACTCCCTGATATTACAATGGTTATCAGTAGTGACAATAATATATCATAATTGAAAATCACTGTAATTTCAGGTAGTAGTGTGCAGCTGATGAGACACTACGGAATAAAATAATGATATCATTGTAAACTGCAAAAAATCTGATCTTCCTTTCAATATCGAAAAATAATACTAACATTGGTTTCAGTCTAAACACTGCTTCTGATACTATATGGAATACTCTCTCAGCATGTAGTACAGTGCAATATTGCACCTAATTACGTAATAACGGGATAAATAATTCACAGAACATTTGTATTAATTTATAGAAAATATATATAAATTGAAAATTAATAGAAGCAGTGACGATAACGACAACAATACATTAGGGATAAGAAAAATGGAAAATTGTTGCTTGTTTACTGTTTTCTCATTAAGATATTTATTTCATGCCTGAACACTTAGTCCCATGACACATAAAATACGTGCTAAATACGGTGTTATTGAGTTTTCCATGCCTAGTTGTGCGAGTATACTCTTTTAATAATGTCTTCTATTTCTACCTGATGAGCTGTGAGGGTGAAGTTGTGTATAGATATATGGATGACATGAATGATAAACATACACAACACCGAAAGGAGGGAACTACAAAAAACATCCGCTGCCCTGTCATACAAAATAAAGGGAACCTCTGAAATCTTACACTGGATTCCCAACAAGGCATAGATACAGATTGCGTTATGACCTACAAACTCACTTAGAAACAAATTAACGTATTCTAAAATAACAGACTCTACTAAGATAAATCTACTGAATAGCTCAGCTGCAAGGCTACACGCAGCTACACACACACAACTATACAACAGGAGAGGACAAAATGGCAGTCTTATAATCATATATAATAGAGCGGAGAGAGAGATTGATAACTAAAGCCTTATTTATCAAATCAAATTGACAATACAAGCAAATAGGGAATGGTTCAACACTTATTCCGGACCTCTGGAAAATTCCACCACTCTTACGATAGATGTTAGGCAAGAAAGGGAAATATAAAAACCGAGTTTTGAAGTTGTGTGGTTACAGTTGACGTGAATGAACAAAAATAAACGGTGTTCGAAATATCGTCATTTAGCAAATAAGCATACTGTCTCACTGTGTGATGATATATCCAGTAAACAGATTAATATGATAAATCACGGGTTTGGAACATCACTGTAAGTTATAAACTATCCTCTACTTATAAACAGCCTATAATGGACACCTGTCTTGTCCCCATGAAAAATGATATCACATATACATACTCCTTTAACATAGATAGCACTAATCAAATTAGGAAAACTGGATACATAATAATATTGCATATAACTTCTTAAATGTAACTAACAGTTTAACAACCTCTTAAAAAATTCAGAAAAATTGAAGTCTGGTAAAACTAACCTGGATGTAACTCAGTAGTCAGCTTGCTTGCAAAAAACAAAAAGGACTATTCCACACTGATCTGATAAGCTGACAACTGAATCTTAAAATGCCCGTAAATTAAAAATCGGTGGTAAATGTAACTTACCAAACAGCGTGGGTAGCACATGTGTGTGTTGACACGCCCTTGAAAATAAAAATCGTTAATTTAACCAACTAATCACAAGAAAAGCTAGTTGGCTTCAGGCGGTTAAAATTAACCAATCAGATAGGAGGAAATAGAATGACCTACAAAGGATTATTTGATTGGTTAACAATTAAACTTCCACTGTTCTGGGTATTTGACATTGCAAACAAAGGCAGTTTGGTGGCTAGAATATGCGAACAAATACCGTTTGTTTATGAAATTAAATATATTCAGAAGCATGTTACTTCTTCGGTATTGTTTAAGTTATGCATGTTGTATGGCTACTTACTAGCTTTCTGTGTAAAAGAAGTCCCAAAAGTTTAATAAAACAATGCTGTTTTTTGACAGGACCTTTAAGTGCACTGAAAGCTTCTTATTGTCGTCCTTGAACTGACCATTTAGAAACCGGGTGCAGTAATGTAATACTTTCTGGCGGATGAAACCGAAGACAAAATCTAGGAGCTTAATAAATAATACTGAAAACAATACTTTCTAGTTAACCATTTTAAAAAAGGAAATTCGGGCTCCTAACTCATCCGTAAAACTAATATTTTCCTAATCTAACCATAATCTATTTATAACCAGCCCTCTAATCCCCCTAATTAGGTTAACCCAACCTCAACATGTCCCTAGCCTGAACCTAACCTTAATGTTTCCCTAGGCTAACCTAAAACTATTCAGATAACCTGCTAAATAGTAATAATAAATAAATAATAATAACAAGCTTTATTCCAAACCATAGTACATAGTACAGAAATTTTCAGCGTATTTAGTCCTAAAATATTTCCTTTGCATACAGGACTTACATGTAAAGTTATAAATTTATTTATTTTTATTATAGCTTGAAACCACACAGTATTTTTCGTACAAGTATGGAATTTTATGCATGTGATATCGGTAGCCCAAATTTAGCAGGCCGACCAATTGATATCAGGTGTGCGTCGTCATGGGATCGAACCCTGGACCATGTGCATAGTCGGCGGGAGTCCTAACTGCTGTGTCACCGACGCACACATAATCTGAAGTATACCAAGAGATGTAGTGTTTTTGCAGATAAAGAGGGAACCAGTTATGTATAGTTTTTCTACATTTCCTTCAAGAATTGCTCAGCGTCTAGTTGGAAGCTAATTAAATGTGCACACGAGTTTATGTAGTACTCATTTGATCTTATTTCATACTTTTAAAAATACGAAATACAGAAGAGTTTAAGCAACATTTTCATGGATGAAAATTCTGGTAGCCGAGTGATTTAATCAGGCCACCAAAAATCAATACACTTTACCCGACACATTTTTTGATAAATAAAATGTTACATATCTGGTTTAATTGTGTAGCACTGACTGAATATATCAAGGTTTAAACTTTGACTTTGCCCTAATGACTATGTACCAGCCTCAGGTTTGAAATTAATTTGAGAAAGCTGACCGAAAAAGATAACTTGAATTTGTAAATTCAAACTCTACAGTTTGTTTGCTCGTGAAGATGCTACGCCTGTGGGATGCTCTGCAGCGAGGTCAGGATCAGATGAGGATTCATTTACTTCCCGAAGTACTTGTAAGCCAGGAAAAGGGGTAACATTGTCGGTGACAGGCTAGCCAACTCAAGCCGTAAAATCAACGTCATCCCTACTGAAATTTCAAAAACTTGACATTATTTTTAATTTTTTTTGTTACTGCGATCAGAACGAAGGCGCTCATTTCACTTGAAAATTTTGCTGATCAAACGACATGAGGTTGGATAAAAGCGTTGAGGAAGTCTAAAATTTAGGTAGAATATGATATATTTGAGGTGACCCACAACGGAAGACTCACTCACCGAGGCGTTCGAAGTGAATACGGCAGGAGTAAAACAAACTGACTATCTGCCTGTTATCACCCACGATGATATTCTTAATTGTGGTGGACTGGATTATATATCCCAAAGAATGTGCACAGGGAGTGAGTGAGAAGACAAGAATACGCTGAACTGATTGATAAGAAGACCCTAGAAAATTTGGATTTCATGCGTGGATGATTTATGTTTAATGTGACACACACAGACACAAACTCGAAAAACTTGCAGGCGTAAACCAACTAACTGGCTGAGGAAGCACGCAGTGAAGATAGGAGTCTAGATGAACATAGAGAAGACGGAGGTGAGAAAATACCCACCAACCAACAGCAACATCAACAACAATAATAACCAGCACAAATCACCATCAATGGGAGAGACTTGGCAGAGGTTGCCTTCTTCAGTTATCCAGCCAGGAAGCACAGTGTCAACCACAGGCAGTCAGACAACAAGGATGAAGATGTCAAAGCCAGCCAGCAAGAATCGGAAAGGTAAGATACACCGTCAACCTGAAACCAGTTTGCAAATCTTCCACTTCACTCACTCAGTTAGCATAAACAACAAGATTCGGATTCTGTTCAATACAAATGTGAAGTCATTCCTTCTATACGGGTGAGAAACTTGCAGTGTGTGTCACAAAAAGGATTTCAAACAGCCTGTTGCAGACTATTATCCACAGCTGCCTTCTTCGCTAGCTCCATACTGAAGATCGAAAGGCCAGCCGGTTAGAAACAATTAGCAACAAGAAACTCTTCAGTGGAACAAACCAACCAAGAGCCGATCGCGCAACAGATAAATAGGAGAAAATGGAGGTGGATTGATCGAAAATACGTTGAGGAGGCCGTCAAATGACATCTAGCGCAATGTAGGCAATTGGTCGAGTGGAATCCAAGTGGAAAGTGACAAGTGGGTCGGTGGTGCGAGGGTGACATGAAGTAGGTTGTGTGAGTTTGGAGGAGGAGATGATGGATTATGGGAAATCTTGGAGCTAACCAGCTGAAGAGGACAGCGGAGAATAGAAAAAGTAGAGGTATGTTGTTGAAGCCCACCTATGTTCCACTTGGAACCCAAGGGAATAATAATATAATGATACATTTCATAATGATTTTTCGGGTAAAGAAGTAGTTATCCTGTGAGAGTGAACATCTAGCTAACTGGTTATTAAAAACGTATTTATCTTCACCTGGTCGGTTAGAGAGATTATTGGAAACTAGGTAGCACTTCCCCGCACTGTTAAGTCCTATTTTAGGCACCTCAGCAGTGCGAACCCACTATCCCTTCAGGACCAACGGGACCAAAGCTGGTTGCCTATTCAGCCACTGTGGCTGGAATTCAGTGTGACCTGTGAATACAATATGGGACTATATACTATCACAGTGTCAAAGTTCTACACACTTGTCAATCATGCAATTTTATTGGTTTGAAACGTACTAAACAGTTTCTAGAATGATAAGTCTTAAGACATTTATGAATTATATATTCATGATATTTTGATTAGAAACAGAGTATTATTTATTCAACTTAATATGAACTTTCCCGTTGATTCATTGGACCGAAGTACTCAGTCTCAGGTTGACATATCAGCTATTTGTGCAGATGCTTCAACGATGTCTGATTATCTAACTTGAAGTAAATTGGGGGTATGATGACTAGTAATGGTGGTACTGGGTTCAAGCCTCAGGGCAAGGAACACTATTACTCACTCACTCACTTACCCAATGGGGAATGCACCTATATCTAGTGGCTGATGAGTCAAAAATATGACGAAATGCGATTCCTGGTAGATTCCACTGCTATTAGTCACCCATCATCCACCAATTCAATTCAGAGTATTATTCAGTTTATAACAAAGAATTCATGAATATAATTCACATTTTATAATTTAGAGGTAAAAACAGAAATCACTCAACTTATGTGTAAGTTGACTAAGTGAATTGGAATAATCACTAGTATCATATTTGTGTATGTTCAGTATATTGTTTGTTTTAATTCTAAATTGACATCAACTACCGAAATGTCTGTCGAGTGTGTCGGTGGCTGGGGATCGAACCCAAAATTACATGAGGCGTGGTTGACGAGCATTCTAATACTGTGAAGTCAACGCACATTCTTTTATGTCGTTAGTCTCATCTTAAAATCCTACCTACTATAACGCTGTATTTGTTTTCACTTTAGAAAAGCATTATTATAATTGTTATTGGCTATGTGATGTTTCCCCAGACGTAACGTAACATTCTAGTTTGAAGTACTTAAATCTACCGTTCTCAACACTAATTACCTATGTAATATAGTTAATCTAAATTAATTATTTAGATAATTGAGGATTGTTTTGCAAACTTCTCTCTTTGTTGTAATTAATTTGATGATTAATGTAAATTAGTAAATAGCTATTTTTGTTTTTGTTTTTTTGGAGGGGGTTGGCGTGTTATACGCGTGTTGCTTTTGATTCCCATCAACTGTTGACATCAAGTTGTCTCGATCGTTATCCAGTATGGGAGACAGTTTAATAGTATAGTTGCATAGTCTGGAATACAAACTACCTTATCTATAGAGTATTAGAACACTGGTTACCATGACACTTGATGAGCGTACCTATTGTTTTTCAATGTGTTTTGAAGTAGGTTTGTGACATAACTTCTAGAGTTTTCATTAGTACGTATCCACCGCAAGGGTTCAAACCTAGGACCTCTGGGTTATGGGGCGAGCTTGTCAGGCCATGTAGCCACTGGGATCCGACCCAGGTGTCTGTGGATTCCAACTTCTGAGAACCGGAACGTCCTTTATCTGAACCTTGGTGATGAGTGGGACGAAACAGATGTCCAGTACTCTCTGGGTGGTTTTCCAATTGTTCTCTAACGAATGTCAGCTCTTGACGAATCCTGTAACCATTCGAATCCCTGCAAATCAACACACGTTAATACATTTTCGTTTGGATATTTGATATTAAGTTATGAATTGGTAAAATCATTTTTGATAAGGTATGTATTTAGACGGCTTTAGAGCGATATCTGAGCATGTAATTAGAATTTAATTGGTGGTGCATCCAGTTGACGAGTCACAAATAGGACGAAATGCGCATCTGTAAATCAAAAAAAAATACAGAGAGAAAGAGTTCTGTCTGGTCTGTGTTAACCGACTGGGCTTCAGGTTTCACAGTTAGAGAAC